AAGCAGCCTGGTTTTAGTAAAAAAAGTAAAGGACTTTATGTTGTATACTTGTTTTTGCATACTCGTAATACTGCATTCCTATTGGACAGATACTGCCGCCTAGCGATTAGTAGATAACAACAGTTCTGATTGGCCGCCTAAGCGGCAGGAGTTTTAAATAAATGCCATTGGTTGCGAGCCGCGAGCAACCGCTATAAAAGGGGCTGCCGCGGCTCGACTTTAGTTGAAGTTACTGACAGTTAAATAAAGAGCTGAACTCAACTCCGGTCTCGAGTCTACTTTGTTCTGGCGATAGAACACTGGTGACGAAGGTGGGATCAAAGGAACAAAGACCGTAAGCACGTGGCAACGGAAGCCAAAAAATCTGCGAGATGGCCGGCAACAACTCGCCACCCGCACCGTTCAACTCAGCCGAAGAAGACTGGGAATCATATATCAACAGGTTCCTGATGTTCCTGGAAAGCAACGAACAACAAGGAATCACTGACCAGAGGAAGAGAGCCGTATTCCCGACACATTGTGGTCCGACCATCTTTAAGATGGCGAAGGCATTGGCGAAACCGAACGATGTCAAAAAAATGGCATGGCCGGACCTGAATCGAATGCTGAGAGCCCATTACGCGCCAGTTGTGTCAAACCTCATTCAAAGACACGAATTTTATAAACAGGATCAACAAGAAGGCGAGAGTATTGGGGACTTTGTAGCAGCACTAAGGGATATTGGAGGAGCATGCGAATTCCTCAACATGGATGAAGCCATGAGGGATCGCATAGTCGGATTGAGAGACGCTACCCTGCAGAGCAAACTGTTTAATTGACCCAACATTACCGTAAATGAAGCCATCGCTGAAGCAACCGCAGCTGAGGCAGCAAAAAAATCTGTGGCGAAAATGAAGCCAATGAATACGGCCAACAGCCCAAGCCAGAGCAGAGAAAAGAAAGCGGAAGGTACCCAGAAACACACTACCGCAACCACCCAGCAGGAAGACATCAAGTCATCAACCGACTCTGAGGAAGAAGACGAAGAGGTAAACAGACTCCAGTCAGAATGGAACCGGCGAGAAAGAAGAGGGAGAAAACCTGAATTTCAGTGTGCCGGATGCGGAGGGAATCACCCGCGTTCTGAGTGCTGTTTTCTGGACGCCATCTGCAGACACTGCGAAAAACGGGGGCATATTGCAGGGGTCTGCCGAAACAAAAAGAGCTATAGTCCAAAAAGACGAGGCAGTACCCGCCCCAGAACTAAGGAGAAGCCAACCGGAAGTTGTTGGAGCTGGGAAAATAGAAGTCAGCGACTCAACGAGAAGGAAGAAACACATCAGACAATTATTATTGGGAATGCCAGAGCAACTGATGCTAAGAAGGTTCGAATAAATGTCAAGAGAGAAGGAGAGCCATGCGAAATGGAAGTAGACTCCGGCTCATATCTGTCAATGGTATCATGGAACACAATAAAAAACTTGATACCAGACATACGACGAAAAGAACTTGAAGAGCAAAGCCTGACATTAAAAGACTATCAAGGAAACAAGATTCCAGTAGTTGGATTGGGACATTTCAAGGTAAAATTCAAGAAACACACTGAAATTCTTCCGTTGACCAAGACCGCCCCAGCCTACTTGGTTTAGAATGGTTCGCGCCTCTGGGAATCGAAGTGACAGGAATCAACAGCGTCACTGAGACAGACTGGGAAAAAGACCTGATGGAGGAGTTCCAAGACATATTCGATGGGACGCTAGGCAAGTACAGTGGGACCCCTATCTCATTTAGCCTAAACCCGAACATAGCCCCCATCCGGCTAAAGGCCAGGCGCGTCCCCTTTGCGTTAAAGCCAAAAATCGATGAGCAGCTGAACAAACTCATCGCACAAGGGGTGCTAGAGCCAATCAACCATGCAAGGTGGGAAACCCCGATTGTGACTCCCGTGAAACCAGATGGGTCCATGCGCATCTGTGGTGAGTATAAGGCCACCCTGAACCATGCATTACAGCAGAGCGCATACCCCGTTCCAGTAGTCCAGCACCTCTTGCACTCGTTGGGGGAGGAAAAGTTTTTGCAAAGCTCGATCTCGCGCAGGCATATCAACAATTGCCGGTTGATTCCGAGATGGCAGAGGCACAAACTATTGTAACACATAGGGGGGCTTTTAAATGCAACAGATTGCAATTTGGTGTCAGCATGGCCCCCGGCGTTTTCCAAAGCCTGATGGAACGCCTCCTCCATGGACTAAAAGGGGTGGTTCCCTATTTTGATGATGTATTGATATCCGCCGGAAATAAAAAACAACTAAAGGACCAGCTAAAGGCAGTCTTGCAAAAGTTTAGAGAAGCAGGACTCAAGGTCAAAAAAGAAAAATGCCAACTTGCCACAAATCGGGTCGAGTTCCTAGGATATCTTATTGATGAAGCAGGAATCCACCCCACTGGGAAAAAAAATACGAGCGATAAAAGAAGCACCCAGACCTAAAAACAAAACGGACTTGCAGGCATTCTTGGGACTCATTAATTTTTATAATGTCTTTTTGCCGCAGAAGGCAACAATAGTGGAACCACTGCATAGACTACTCGATAAAAAAGCCATCTGGAAATGGGGCCGACAAGAAGAAGCTGCATTCCAAAAAATTAAGGACTTAATTACATCCAAATCTATATTAATCCAATACAGTGACACGCTACCACTGACTGTCACCTGCGACGCTTCACCATTCTGTGTAGGCGCAATACTTAGCCACACATTACCTGATGGCAGAGAGGCACCGATCGCCTTTTATTCCAAAACGCTGTCCAAAACTGAAAGAAACTACAGCCAACTGGATAGGGAAGCCTTGGCTGCTATCTCAGGGGTAAAACGTTTTCACGAATATCTTTATGGTAGGACATTTTCTTTGATTACCGACCACAAGCCACTTCTAGGAATCCTGGCAGGAGACAGGGCCACTCCCAACATCCTGTCTCCAAGAATGACAAGATGGTCGGAATTTCTTGCCGCCTACAATTACAAGCTCGTCTATCGGCCAGGAAAAACCATATCCCACGCCGACGCATTGAGCCGCTCACCCTTACCAGACCACGACCACGACCCAGCTCCCACCACTTGCACCCTGCAAATTGAAACAATATAGAACCTGCCCATCACCGCATCGGACATCGCAAGGGAAACCACAAAAGATGCACTAATGGCCCGACTCCTGAACTGGGTGGGGAGGGGCTGGCCGGAAAATGACAAAAACAAGACTTTTAAACCATTCAAAACCCACCAAACTGAGCTGTCAATTGAAAAAGGATGCATCTTGTGGGGGGATAGGGTTGTTGTTCCACGAAAATTACAAGAAGACGTACTGAACAGACAAAGACATCGAAACCTGGGTAAGAACATGTAATAAATGCCAGTCATCCAGACCTACCCCCCCTTTAGCACCAGTCCTTGAATGGGAGACACCCAGAGGTCCCTGGTCAAGGATCCACATAGACTTCGCCGGACCCACAAAGGGATATACATTTTTAATCATCGTCAATGCCTACTCGAACTGGTTAGAGGTCAGCATCACGAGTTCAACAACGACTGAAGCCGTCACTAAACAACTAAAGAAACTCTTCGCCACTCATGGTCTACCAGATGTATTAGTATCGGACAATGGCCCACAGTTCACAGCTTTAGCTTTCGAACAATTCCTCGCAGAGCAAGGTATACGACATGCTCTGACAGCGCCAGCTCATCCGGCGGTGAACGAAAGGGCGGAACGCATGGTTCGATACACGAAAGAAGCATTAGAAAAACTTGAAGGAGGCGACATGCAAGACAAAATCAATACCATGCTCACCATTCAACATATAACACCGTGCACATCAACAAACCCAGCTGAACTTTTAATGGGCAGAAAATTGCGCACATATCTGGACAGACTACACCCCACCTACAACCCCGAGAAGCCACCAGACTCCTCCAGTAAGTACTGCACGTTCATACCAGGCGACCTGGTATACGCGAAAAATCTTACTGGAGACCCGTTGTGGTTACCGGCCACGATAACACAAATCACAGGCCCCCGATCGTACCGGCTAGAGACAACCGACGGCAGAACGTGGAAAAGACACATCGGCCAACTACGGTCTCGACACATCGAACGCAACACCGATACACCCCGGAACATGGAGCAAACACATCCACAAAACCCAATAGACAATAATAATAAAACCAGAGAGGGGGGGGACCCTTAAATAATAAAGGAAAGGAAAACCCTCCATTAACAAACCACTAACCAGAAACTGAAAACCCAAAAAGAAATAAAAACTACTTACCATTTGGCGAATTCGAAAGAAGAGAGCTGGAGGAGAACCAGGGAAGAAGCAGCCGAGCCGACTCTACCTGCCCGAGCATGCCAGAAGGGAGCGACAACGCCCGCCCAACCAAACCAACAAAGCACGGCGGGAGAGGCATGGCTGAGTCACCCTTCCAGGAGGTTCCAGAGAGAAGAACAGGAGAGACGGCGAGCCTGTCTGAACCGACCAAGGTCAACGCAGAGACTGAACTGCGCAGGTTAACTAGGACCCACAAAAGCCCCGCCTACTTACGCGACTACATCACGTAATGTTGGATCAAACCAAGAGGGGAGGGTTGTTGTATACTTGTTTTTGCATACTCGTAATACTGCATTCCTATTGGACAGATACTGCCGCCTAGCGATTAGTAGATAACAACAGTTCTGATTGGCCACCTAAGCGGCGGGAGTTTTAAATAAATGCCATTGGTTGTGAGCCGCGAGCAGCCGCTATAAAAGGGACTGCCGCGGCTCGACTTTAGTTGAAGTTACTGACAGTTAAATAAAGAGCTGAACTCAACTCCGGTCTCGAGTCTACTTTGTTCTGGCGATAGAACACTTTATGTAAATAACAATACTATGAATATTTTAATTAAACTGAACTGAATGAAGTATTGCCTGATACCAGTGTAAATACATGCTTTTTGTGGCAATATTTTTTTCTTTTTTTAATCCCATGCAGCAGGAGCCACTTCCTCACCAGATCTACCAGACACCAGTACCTCGCATGAGCCATGGTTGCACAGAACCAGGTAAAATGCCTTTCTATCAAGAGGTTTTGGTACCTTTTAATTAATTGGGAATTGGGGTAAATGAGTATTTCTGCATTCCTTTAAATTTTTGGAATTCTGTTCTTACCATAGTCTGAATAAATTACACGTATTTATTTTTGTGAAAAATAAATACAGTTAGGAATTCCTGGACACATACACACTAAAAATGAACAGTGTGTATGGTTATGAAAAGTCATGGAAAATTAGAATTAAATATGTAGCAAAATTGAAAAGTAGATCTAATTAAATAATAATTGATGCCCTTATTTTAAAACTTAGAACATATAAAGGGCAAAGAATCTAATTCATTAACTCCAACCCTACCTATTCTCACCTCTTAGGAAAATGCTTTTCACCAATGAGCACCCAGCCAGGCAGTGTTTCATAGCCAGAGTGCTTTGATCTTGACAATAAATAGATTCAGTCTGTCATGTCTTTGAGTGTCCAGTGATAGAGATTTATCTATGGAATTTGGAAAACTTCAGGAACAGACTGTTCTAGAAGATTTCTGTTAACTGAAATGAAGCTCTGCTTTGGGTACGCTCCATGAAAAGATATAGCCATTATTTGTTGCCAAGATTTTTTCTTACCAAAGAAGAAAGATGGGTTTAGATGATTACGGGTCTTAGGTACCCAGAAGTCCTGATATAGATAGCTCTGACACTGATCTGTAATTCTTAAGACATGTTTTCTGAAAGGAAGATAATAACTATCTCTTGTGTTTTTGCACTGAGTTTGAATATTGTTGTTAGTTACGAAGTCGTGTCTGACCCATTGCCACCCCATGGACAACGTTCCTCCAGGCCTTCCTGTCCTCTATCATCTTCTGGAGTTCATTTAAGCTCAGGTTTACTGCTGAAGTGACTCCGTCCAGCCACCTCACCCTTCTTCTATTGCCCTCAATCGTTCCCAGCATTAGGCTCTTCTCCAGTGAGTCCTTCTTTCTCATTAGGTGGCCAAAGTATTTGAGTTTCATCTTCAGGATCTGGCCTTCTAAAGAGCAGTCAGGGTTGATTTCCTCTAGGACTGACTGGTTCGATCACCTTGCAGGAGTCTTCTCCAGCACCATCGTTCAAAGGCTTCAATTCTTTGGCGCTCAGCCTTTCTTATGGTCCAACTTTCACAGCCATACATCACAACTGGGAAAACCATAGCCTTGATTATACACACTTTTGTTGGCAGGCAGTTTGCTTTTTAATATGCTGTCTAGATTTGCCATAGCTTTCCTCCCCAGGAGCAAGGGTCTTCTTTTAATTTCTTGGCTGCAGTCCGCATCTGTGGTGATCTTGGAGCACAGGAAAATAAAATCTGTCACTACATCCATTTCTTCCCCATCTATTTGCCAGGAATTGAGAGGACCAGATGTCATGATCTTAGTTTTACTTAATGTTGAGTTTCAAGCCAACTTTTGCACTCTCCTTCTTCACCCGCATCACCCGCTCTTTAGTTCCTCTTCACTTTCTGCCATTAAAACGGTATCATCTGCATATCTGAGGTTGTTGATATTTATCCTGGCAATCTTAATTCCAACCTTTGATTCACTAGCCCTGCCTTTCTCATGATGTGCTCTGCATATAGGTTAAATAGGCAGGGCGACAGTATACAGCTTTGCTGGACTCCTTTCCCAATTCTCACTGTTGCTTCTTGACCAGCATATATATATGCTTCTTAAGAGACAAATAAGATGGCCTGGTACTCCCATCTCTTTAAGAACTTGCCACAATTTGTTGTGATCCACACAATCAAAGGCTTTAGCATAGTCAATGAAGCAGAATTATATGTTTTTCTGGAACTCCCTAGCTTTCTCCATGATCCAGAGTATGTTGGCAATTTGATCTCTAGTTCCTCTGCCTCTTCGAAATCCTGCCTGTATTTCTGATCGTTCTCGATCCACATACTGCTGGAACCTAACTTGCAGGATTTTAAACATAACTTTATTAGCATGTGAAATGAGTGCAATGATGTGATCGTTTGAACATTCTTTGGCATTGCCTTTCTGTGGAATTGGGATGTAAATGTAATCTTAAAAGACGATGCAGTAAAAGTGCTACACTCAATTTGCCAGCAAATTTAGAAAACTCAACAGTGAGTTTTAATAGAAAGCAGCAAAAATATTTCTTCCAATCGGTGGTGAGTATTTAGATGATTTGTTTTCTCGGGCATCTCTACTGGTGTTCTGACCAAGGTTTCCTGAGACCATAATTAAGCACACGCTTAGTCCAAACAACTCTTTTTTTATTTCAACACTGGGAATTATTTTCATTCCCAGCCCATAATGAGTCCTAAACAGTCCCTCAAACAGTCCCACCCACCTTTATCTCCTTTGAATTGCTGCCAACAACTAAAATGCCAAATTAACTGTAAAAAAAACCAACCAAAGTACAAAGTCCACACAGAGCTTCAAGGTTTAATTCAAACAGAGCGAACAAGTTTGCTTTCTGCAACGACTTTGCTTCCTCTACCTTTACACTTCCTTTATACCTTAGGAGAGGGGCAATCACTCCCGAGTCGCCCCTTTTGTCTTAGCTGCTCTTGCCTTCTAGCAGCTCTGTGCACACGCACACTGGGAACAGGCTCCCCTTGTTCCTCTGCCTCACTGCTGCCAGACTCTGGAGATTCTGGAGTCAGCACAAACTCCCAGATGGTCCTGGCCCCATCTTTGCATCAGATGCAGGGCCCTCGTCTGACTCCCGGACTGGTCTCCGTTCTTCCCACTGTCCGATTCCGCTGCCATCTGCACAGGCTGCCGGCAAACCACAACAACTGGTATGAATTGAAAGAAATCATATCATAAATTGGTATGATATAAACCACAACAACTGGTATGAATTGAAAGAAATCATATCATAAATTGGTATCAGGTAGTTATGCTAGATATTTCAGTATAATTGTCTCAGAATGGTACCATAAGATTATAAGTCAGTATATATAGATTGTTTTACTGTCTCTTACCCGACCACATCTTTTGTCCCAGTTTAAATATCTGAAAAATCTGATTACCTATTTTTCCATATATTATATTCCTCTCCAATATCTAATATGTATTCTTTTATCCCAGGGTGTTTATTTTCTGCATTGAACTACCACATTCCTCCTGGGCTTCCTAAACTGCGTCGACGAAGACAGGTAAATTTACTACATGACAGTAATAATCAGTTTTAAAAGCAGAGGACCAAGAATATGAATTTATTGTACCTGAAAAACAGAGCACTATTTTTTTACGCATAAACTCCTGGCATGACCTATTATGCTGGGATGGTCCAGACCTTTCTCTACAATCTTTTTTTTTTTTTTTCAACCGAGAATCAAGATCATGTGAAGTGTTAGTACCAGTTTATAATGCTTTGGTAAGACCACACTTAGTACATCCAGTTTTGGTTGCCACAATATAAAGAAAATGTTTTATTGAATGAAATGTTAAAAACATTGGACGTGGTATGATCGTCCTGACAATCCTGTTTGTCATACGTGTTATGGTATAGAATAAATGTTTTATATACATTTATACAATATTTTCTATTTCTAATAATCCGTTCTGCCAACCCTGCTTTATTTTGATTCTAGATCCTTCTTTTTTCCCACCATTGATAAAATTTATCCCATACTTTATAATATTCTGTCTCATCTTTATTTTTCATTTCCAAAGTTAATTTATCCATCTCAGCGCAACTACATATCCTTTTATTACTTCACTTTCATCGGGAATTTCTTATCTTTCCACTTTTGAGCAAAGGCTAACCTTGCTGCTGTGATCACATGTATTATTAAATAAATCATCTCTTTGTTATATCCTTCTGTTATAATTCCGAGTAAGAAAAATTCCAGTTTATATTCCACTTTATGCCCAACCTCTAGCCACCTCTGGATCCTGTGCCAAAACTCCTGGTTTTTTCTACATTTCCACCATGTGTGATAATATGATTTGTATTCCTGAGTACATTTCCAGCAGTTGAGTGATATTTTGATACATTTTGGGCAATTTTGCTGGCGGGAGGTACCACCTATAAAACATTTTATATAGGTTTTCCTTATATGATACGACCAATATTATTTTTTTATTTACTCTCATAAAGTTTGCCATTTATCCAAATTAATACCATGCCCAAAAATTTTAGCCCACGCCAATATTGTTTCTTTTACCTGTTCTTCCTCCAATTTATAATGCAGTAAAAATCTGTAAATTTTTCTTATCAATTTATCCTCTGATCCAAGTAGTATTTCATCTAATGTTGTTACCTGTCTATTAATCCCCCATTCTTTCATATCTTTTCCATATCTTGATTGGATTTGTAGATAGGCCCACCATTCCAATTCCACCCCTTGTTCTATAAAGAAAATGTTGAAACTCTGGAAAGAGCACAGAGAAGAGCAAAAAAGATAATTAGGGAGCTGAAGGCTAAAACATATGAAGAATAGTTACAGGAATTGGGTATGCCTAGTCTAGTGAAAAGAAGGACTAGGGATGAGATGAAAGTATGTCTTCCAATGTCTGAGTGCCTGCCACAAAGAAGAAGGGATCAACCTATTCTCCAAAACACCTGAAGGCAAGATAAGAAGCAATGGATGGAAACTAATCAAGGAAAGAAGCAACTTAGAACTAAGGAGAAATTTCCTGACAGTTGGAACAATTAATCCATGCAACTGTTTGCCTCCAGAACTTGTGGGTGTCCTATCACTGAAGGTTTTTAAGAAGAGATTGGACAGCCATTTGTCCAGAATGGTATAAGGTCTTCTGCTTAAGCAGGGGGTTGGACTAGAACAGTAATCCCCAAACTTTTGACCTTGGCAACCTAGCCTGGCACAAGCAGAAGGCGCTTGTGTTCACATACAAAGTGTGATGACCTGGGGCAAGGCACAGAGGCAACACAGTCAGCTGATAGTTCAAAACGTCCCTTTATTGCTCCGACTTTTCCCCAAACAAGTCCCAGAGGAAAGGTCTCACACAGACACCTTCAGCAGCCTCTGGCTGTGAGTAGTCCAGCAAAATGCTGTTAGCACAATGGCTTCAATGCAAGAAGTCCAGCGGGGCAAGGGAATAAGTCAGTGAGTCTAGAAAGCAAAAAAACAATGCAATGAGTCCAGGAGCAAAAGAACAAGGCAATTAATCCATGGAGCAAGGAATAAAGCGAGAAGTCCAGCAGATGCCAGGCACCAGCACCAGCACACAAAACTCCATGAATTCAGCGTTTGTTCCTGACAAACGCCCCTCCCTACAGCACCTCCTTAAGCCTCAGTCCTCAAGTGTGCCTTGTGAAGAGGAGTGGGCTGCTCTCCTCCCGAGTCATTGGGTTGGACTGCATTGTTCCTGCCTCCTCTGCACTCTCCTTGCTCGGGGATCAGCAGGAGGCAATCCTTGCTCGTCGCCTGAGCTCCATCGCTCGTCTCCCCTGCCTGCCCTCTCTCAGTTGTCCTGCCCCCGTTCCTCCCTGCTGGCAAGTCATCCCAAGCCCAAGGGGCCTGGGGCTGCCTCGTCCTGCTCCTCCCAGTGTTCCTCTGAAACCAGGCCGCCACCTCGACCTCCGTTGAGATCCAGCTTTGGCTTGTCCTTCTCTGCAGATTCAGGCTCCAACAGTAAGGGCATGATACTAAGCTCCACTTATGCAAGTGGAAAGTGCTTGCATGCAAAGCTCCATTCGTATGTGAGTGGAGCTTCATGTGCGCGTGTTTGCCCACTGCTCACGCAAGTGGTGCTTCGCACATGTGCTTTCCTATCGCATGTACAGCCTGGTTTGAAACAGGCTGCCGCCTGGTAGTTGGCTGTGGCCTGGGGGTTGGGGGCTCCTGAACCAGAAGACCTCTAAGATCTCTTCCAACTCTGTTATTCTGTTATCTTCATGGAATTTGCTTCCCATTCAATATAGGCCAGACATAAGCAGCATTAATACTTTACACACATATCAATCTAAAAATCTCAGAGCCCCCATACTCAATGAACTGTCATGACTTTTTCAAAATATAGGAAGATACCATGTTGAGGAGCCTCTGTGGCGCAGTGGTTAGAGTGCAGTACTGCAAGCTTCTGCTGCTGCAACCAGCTGCCTACAATTTGGCAGTTCAAATCCCACCAGGCTCAAGGTTGACTCAGCCTTCCATCCTTCCGAGGTGGGTAAAATGAGGACCCAAATTGTTGGGGGCAATATGCTGACTCTGTAAACCACTTAGAGAGGGCTGTAAAGCACTATGAAGTAGTATATAAGTCTAAGTGCTATTGCTATTGTTCCCTTTCTTCCACTGAGTGCAATACTATGCTAAGCAATCTATTAGTGGCCATTTATGCTTTTCAAAAAAAGAGGAAATGTTTCATAAGAACAGAAGTTGTATTTGTATTCAAGTTTTGTAGGTACTGATAAACTATGCCTATTCAAACTAAGCACTGATAATTGCAACAATTTGTAAATCTTCAGTTGTCTAACTAGGTCCAGTTTACTTCATTTATCTATTCATTTAAATGGATAGCACAAAGCAGGTACAATTCTCTTCCCCTATATTTTTGTATATTTTTAAGGGTGCTAGTCTAGAAACCAGAAGACTCGTAAGTTCTAGTCCTGTTTTAGCTATGAAAACCCAGTTGAGTGATTATCTTGAGTTACTTATAAAGTAATAAAGGCAAGATAAAAATCTAATAAATAAAATAAATAAATTAGTTCGAACTGAGAACGGAGCTGGAAAGCAGGTTAGTGGGGTGGGGAGGTAATGGAGATTTTACAGTATCCTTCCCCTGCCACACCCACCAAGCCACGCCCCTCAGGCCACACCACACCACGCCCACAAGCCACATCCACAGAATCAGTAGTAAAAAATTTTGAATCCCACCACTGATGTAGATGTATCTTCTTCCAATCCTAGGTTCACCGAGGTCATCGGACTGTCCACAGTGAGACCAAATTCATTGAATTGATAATTGTTAATGACCACCAGCTGGTGAGTACTGATAATGGCCTAGAAAGACAAATATGGATAGGTCTGCTGTTGCAGATCCTTTAAAATTCTTCCTGGAGAGAAGCAAATGAATTGCCTGTCAAGCCTGTTTCTTTTAGCAATTTGGCAAACAATGATCAGAGTGTTTTTCCTTTCCGTGTCTTAAATCTGATTTCTTTTCTTTTCTTGTTTTTAAATTGGTCACTATATCCTCTGTCAGGATCTCTTCCACAATGCCATTCGCAATTCAGATAAACTGTCCATCAGCTGAGCTTGCTGGATCAAAATAATTATACTGTCAGTATGACCAGTGTAGATTGATAAAGTATGCTCAAAGCTTTCTAAGTCTACTGTGTCTTCCATTGGTAGATTTTTTTTGTTTGTTTTGTTACAGTTCTTATTCTTGTTTAGTGCTATGCATTCACTGCAGAGTTACTAAAGAATCCCTGGTAATTGTTCTGAAATAAACAATTCAAAATTGTGATAGGGGCCTTTAATTTATGATTTTATTATTTTCTTTTCATTTTTAAAATGCAAAATGATGTTATTCTTTCTATCTTGTTCAAATAACAGTGAAGAAGTAACATGTATAATGAAAGGTTCTTTCTCAACATTGAACAGAGACGGGCAAATTGACCCTGTCCTTTGGAATATTTTCCTGCCAGAGTTGAGATGGGCCTCTATTCTTCTGGCCTTTTCAGAACAGCTTTAAAATCTGGCACTGCTGGGGGACCTGATAGGAATGCCAAATGACTGGCAGGGTAGAGAGAAAATTTCCACCCCCTTTTTTGCCTGTCCACTTGATTTTTTAACCTCCATTTATTTGTTCTTAATTTTAGTCATTTAATATTATCTTTTTAACATTTTGTAAGCTTCCCAGAGTTGCTGCAACAGTGAAATGCTGCAACAGTCAAACAAACAAACAAATAAATAATTCAGTATAAGTTAATACATTTACAATCAAATATTTCAATTCCCTACTGTATATTTCAGGTAAAATTTCCAATAAAAATATCTCTGGTTTCAAGTCTATGTGTTTTTTTGTCATTTTTTCCAACCATGTGTGGATTTTAGTCCAATATCTTTTAGCATCCCCGCATGTCCACCAAATATGGTAATATGAATCAGGTGTCTGATGACATTTCCAACATTTTCCAGATTTGTTATTGAACATTCTTGCTATTCTCGTTGGGGGTAAGTGCCACCTGTAAAACATCTTATTCAAGTTTTCTTTATATACTGTTGACATTGTCATTTTATAATTTTGAGACCACAATTTTTGCCATTTCTCTAAGTCAATCCCATATCCAAATATTTGTGACCTGGATTTTCAAAACATCCGCCAATTCTTCCTTTTGTCTTAATAACATATTCTTTGTCAAAATCGTCGTTTTATCTTTGTTTATTTTCAAACCAGCTACTTTTCCATATGCCTCTATCTTTTCTATCAGTTTAAATGCTGTTTCTAATGGATCTTCTAAAATGAAAACCAGGTCATCTGCAAATGTTTGTAATTTAAATTCTTCCTTTTTAATTTTCATCTTCAGTTTCTATTTAACACTTCCAAAGTTAACACAAACAACAGAGGTGACAATGGGCAGCCTTCTCTTGTCCCTTTTCTTATATCAATGGAATCTGTCAATTTTCCCTCTATCACTACCTTTGCTGTTTGGTTATGATATATAGCTTCTATGGCATGGATAAATTTCTTACCAAAGCCCATCTGCTCCAACTGTAATAACATGAATCGCCAGTTCACATTATCAAAGGCCCTCTGCATCTAAGAATGTCAAAGCCATTTGTTTTTCGGGATGTACCTCATAATATTCCAAAGTATCTAAAATTATTCTCATATTGTCTTTAATTTGTCTTTTTGGCAGAAACCCATTTTGATCAGGATGAATAATGTTGTTCAAATATCTTTTAAGTCTTTCTGCCAATAATGAAGCAAAGATTTTATAGTCTGAGTTTAACAGGGAAATAGGTCTATAGTTCTTAATTTGTTGTGGGTCAGCATCCTCCTTTGGGACAAGTGTAATATATGCCTCTGAAAACGATTTGGGTATCCTCTTCTTTGACATAACTTCATTCATAACTTCTAGCAATGGAAGATTCAACGATTCTTGTAGTGTCTTATAGAATTCTGCTGGAAGTCCATCTGGACCTGGTGCCTTTCCATTGTTTTGCTTCTTAAGTGCTTCGGTTAACTCCATCATCATTATGTTAATTTCTAACATTATTTCAGTCTCTTTAGGTATCTGGGGTAGATTAGCATTCTGCAGGTATTGTTTAACTCTTTCATCATCTATATTCTCTTGTTCATACAGTTTCCCATAGTAGTCTCATATAATTTTTTTCTTCTCTTTACTTCCATAACAAGCTTGGCCTTGATCATCTATTAATTGCAATATTTTTCTTGATTCTCCCTCCTTTCTCAATTTATATGCTAACCATCTACCTGGTTTATTTGCGTCTTCGAAATAGTTCTGCTTTGCACCTCTGATTTTCTGTGCTAATTCTTTTTTTTTCTATTAATCCCATTTTATGTTTAATTGTATCCATTTTTAACTTAATGTCCTTTTTCTGTGGCAATTTCTGTAACTCTTTTTCAACTCTTTTATACTCATCCTCTAATGTCTTAGAGGCTTGTCTTTTCATAATATTTCTTTTCCTTGTATAGTCTATTATCAAGCCTCTAGCATAAGCCTTCATTGTATCCTATAAATTCTGCATTGATGTATCTTCTTTTTTATTTTCTTTGAAGAAAAAAGCCAATTCTTTCTCCATTTTCTGTATAAAGTCTTTTTCTTTAATATAGTATTATTTAAAGTCCATCTGGATCTTTTTCTTTGTCCTTTCCATTTAATTGTCATTGGATTATGGTCTGCCCAAGTACTTGTTTCTATGTCAATTTCTTGTAGATTAGCGATCAGTTCTGTTGACATCCATATCATGTCTATTCTAGACCATGATGAGTGTCTGTTTGAATAAAAAGTGTATTGTTTGGTCTTAGCTTTCTTTCTCTCCATGCATCTTTTTAATTTATTTCATCTATCATTTTAAAAAAGGATTTAGGGAGAGTCTTTCTACTTTGCTTTGTTGTTTTTTGTGTTGTATAGTCCAGTTTATTATCTACTATTCCATTAAAATCTCCCATCATACAAATGTCCAGTTCAATTATTTTTGTATGTAATTTTCTATAAAATTCTTCTTGATTATCATTTGGAGCATAGTTTGCTATCAGGAGTGTTTTCATATTATTGTCCATTATTTCCACCATTAAGAGTCTTCCATCATCATCTGTATAAATCAATTTCGCTGGGATAGTATCTTTAATATATAAAACCACTCTTCTTTTCTTGCATTGTGTCAAAGCCATAAATATTTTCCCTAGCTTTGGCTGTATCAATATTTGTTCATGTTGCTTTATAATGTGTACTTCTTGTAGGCAGATTATATCAAATTTTAATTACTCTAATTTATGGAAAAATTTCCTTCTTTTAACAGCTAAGTCCATTTATATTAATTGTAATCAGTTTTTTCTCTTCCATGGTTATACTTTATAACTAGGTTTTGCAGCCCTTGTAGATCTTGGTTCTCGTTGTTCTCTGACTTCCATCTTTCCACCAACAGCACCTTCTTCTTTTTCAATCGCTGCTTGACAGTCCTCTTGGAATTCGATTAGTGACATTTCTTTTTCCATCTCCTCCTCTTTCCCTCCGAAGTATTCTGTATAAAATAATTCTGCTTTCTCAATTGAATCAATTCTGTGTCTTTATTCCTGCCATGTAAACATTAAGCCTTCTGGTATCAGCCATCTATAATTCACCTCTTTTTTGAGTAGTATTTTAGTCAAGAATTGATACTCTCTTCTCATCTCTCTCACTCTTCTGGGTACTTGTTTCAGGACTACAATCTCCTTATCTTTGTATTTCAATGTTTTCTCTCTTGCCACCTGTAGTATTTGCGTTTTAATAGCTTTCTTTGTGAATCTAATGTGAACTTCTCTTGGCAAAGTATTTTTCATTGCATATCTTGTGAAAACTCGAAAAACCTCATCTATTCCATCCATCATCTTCTCTTTGGTTATTTCCAATGCCTCAGCCAAAATTTCTATCATTATCTCTGCCAAGTTTTGTCCCTTTTCTTCCTCCATGTTTTGGAATCTAAGAGAAAATTATGATCTGTCAATCTCCCATCCCAGCATCCCAGTCTTATCTTGTTCAACCACAGTTAATCTGCCATCCATCTCTCCAATCTTCTTATCTCGTTGTTTATCTTCTTCTTCAATTTTTTGTAGTCTCTCATCATACTTCATCATCATTTGTTGAATGTTCTCCACCTTTCCATCAGTTTTTCCTGTTCTTTGTTCAATGTTCTCTGTCCTCTTTTCAATATTCTCTGTTCTTGCTTGTATGTTTTGAATTCCTTGCATAATCATCTGTAGGGTCACCTTTTCCTGTTCTTTTTCCTGTTGTAACATCGTCTGTATTGAATGTTGTCCTCCAGATGGTGAAGAGGAAGATGTAGGAATTGAAGAACCAGCCGCCATTAGTTTCTTACTCATTTCACCAAAAAATTTTAAGGTTGTAAACAATTTAAAATCTTCAGGTTCTTCTAGACCTTAATCCACTCGTGTAGTAAGCAATTGTAATTCCAAGTAAGAAATAGCGAAGAAAAAAGGAAAAGAAAAGAAAAGAAAAATTTCTTCAGGTTCTTGTACACCCTAATCCAATAGATTGATTAATTGGCAAGAAAAACCCAAAAAGAAAAAATAAGGCCAAAAAAGGGAAAAGAAAAAATTATCAAATATAAAGAATGAAAAAAAAATAAAAAATAAAATTCTTCAGGTTCTTCAACACCTTAATTCAATTAAGAAGTCTCAGCGGTACAAAAAAATATAAGAAGGAAATAAAAGGATGAGTGAGGGGAAAAAAGCTACTCCCTTGGGGAAAAAAAAGAGAGAAAATAATACTAATAGCAATAAGAAAAAACAGGTAGAAGAGAAAGGATTTCCTTTTTAAAAAAAATAAAAAATGAAAATAATAAAAAAAATAGACTTAAAAAAAGGAAGGCAAAAGTAAATTCCAAAAGGCCAGAATCCCAAGTATCTACCAAAAATAAGTAGCTAGCAAGGAGGGGGTGAGTAGAAAATAGCCCAACGTAAGCAAAAGGTAAAAGAAGGAGAAAGAACACACTGCACCAATATAATATCCAAGGCTTTTTGTTAAAATCCAAACAATTTTATAACTCTCTTCTCTAGGGTCTTGTAATCTTCTTTCTGTAAATTCCAAACTTTCTTTCAACACCAGACTCCAGCCACTGATAGAAACCCAGAAGAGCACCTGTAATAACACTTTCCCATGCTCTTCCCTCTATCTTATCAAACAGGCTCAAAGTCCTTGAAAAGAAGCCTCAGTTCTTTTCTCAGCTTTGTCTGGTCTTAGAACAGGGGTGGGCAAACTTTTTGGCTCGGGGGCCGCATTGACTTTTAAAATTTGACAGACGGGCCGGGTCAGCACAAGATTTTTTGGGAA